CCATGTAGTGCATCGTAAATATCCCTTCCTTTAATGCATATATCTTTCTATACAATAAACAATTTATTCCTGAATGTGGTACACAAAAATTTATAAAAAGGATGTTGGTTGAAAGCATCACCTTGTATTTGGCAGCACATCAGTAACTACAATTTAATCTTACAGTTATCTCTATAAATTAGTATCTGTTTCGCAACAGTAAAAAATTGATACCAATACATATCGCGTTAAAGTCTACGAGACCCTTTTTTTATTCCACACTTCCTGCAAACACTTTACTACATTTCAATGCAACATCGACTATAGCAACTATAGTGATATAAATGAAACAATACTTATTATTATTACGTACTTGCCACATATACATGCTATTGTTCTAATCAATTCGGCTGCTCCTGTTACATACTATCAGGAATTTATAAATTATTTATTACTCAATTTCAATTGGTCAGTAAGCCTAAATAACTGTTTTTTATATTGTAAAATCAAGTTTCAATATGTAATACAGTGAATACTTGCACTTATGATTAATAATATACGAACGCTGTTGAAAACAAAATTGTAAATCAATTATATAGATAGCGGCTATAAAAATGTTCTTTATAGTACTTCAACTATTAGGTGAAGTATGAAATTGGTATCAGTTTTTTTACACTTATCCCTTACATGCTATAGGTAATATAAAATCATCATAAAGAAGATCTGTTTAAAAATGTGTAATCATATTTACTTATATACAGTCATTAAATACTTTGATCTGCAGTCTCTTTACTCCAATACAATACTGTCTTATTTTTATTGCTTTTTGCAAGTCTGTTGACATACAGTAATACGTTCCTTTCGAACCATGATTATAATCTTGAATAAGGAAACCTAATGTCTTTAATTAAATACAAATTAGCTTCAGTCCCGTTAAATGAATGTCCGTCGTCAAATGCATGTAACTAGAGTATAAAAAGACGTTTAAGTAAAGCAAAACTTCATTTACCGAACACCAAGAAATGTATGTACTGTTAATTGTTTAGAATTATTGATGTAGTTATTACTTGGTAGAATATTAATTAACATTAATAGTTGCATCTTAATTGATTTCTTGTAAAAGCATAACAAAGTATTTAGTAATATTATTGTCAAAAAATTGATTATATCAAGAAACTGACATCTGTGTAACACATTAGCAAAAATTCAAGGCCTGAGATGATCGTTAACATTACTTAAAATAACAGCCTTATATGCTTTTATATTGTTAGACATCTTCTTTTGGATATGTGTAAGAATGTATGTTGATCGTAAAATGATTAAATCGGGTGTTTCAATTGTAAATTACATCTGCATGAAAATATATCCAATTGTTAATATTTAGGAATAATATAAAATTGTAAACACATAGCGCAAGCAAAGGATCATTCACTTACATGTATTCTCTAATAATTAGGAATTATTAAATGATTGTAGATCACTCTTACGTACTATAAAAATTTGTTGACACCATATTAATCAAAATCTAAAGTCCACATTGATTTTAGAAAAGGAAGTAAATCTTTGAGATCTAAGTAAACGTTTTCCGAAAATTGACACCATCATATACTGTACTTGTTTTTTCTTCGAACATTTATGAAACGATGTTTAACACTTCTTAATGCAAGATATTTTATTTTCACGTAGTTTTATAAATGTTCCTCTTTTAAAATTATTTCTTCTCCGCTTGCTTCGTCATCAGGAAGCATTATAGATAATCCACTATCACATAATTGTGCATCATTTAATATTTAAAATATGTAATAGCATTTACTATAAGACATTTAGTTCTATTCCTTTGGCAGTCTGATACAGGTTTTGCAGAAAGAGTGATACTTTTATATTATATTTCATGGTATACAATAAATTAATAATATAAACGAATTATATCTTCAACAGAAAATAAAACATCTTGCTCGTACGATTTTTTTAAAGGTGATGCTATATACTAGATTCCATTTCAATTAAATTACTTACACGCAATTCTTTAAACGCTTTCTGTAGGACTCTGAAACTCGGAAAGTGCATGTATCGGATTCTGCACTTTCTTCTGTGAACCTTTACGTACTTTTGCCCTGACTTCTTCCGGTCTCTCAGGACGTACCAACGGTTTCTTCTCCGGTGCTTTCATTTTCCATACAACGATAGGAGACTAAACAGAACACAGAACAATGCATAATGCAGGGAATGCTTAGAATTTATCAGATACATTTCCAAATCTCCAGAAAACTATCTTTATTACATAAATACTTACATGCTAAAAAATCCAAACGTTAGTTTCAAGAATGATTTGTCCATTAATACAAAATGGAAGACACAAAAATCGAGTGAACATTAGTACATGAACAATACTTACGGTAACTGTAGACTGTCTAGGGTATTTCGTTGATGCAACGTACGAAGCTTTAACAGTCAAAACGACTGCGTTCATTAAGTTCTTAGCTGCCTGTATGAGGGAAGTTGCACTGTCAAGCCCAGATACGATCAATTCTCCACTAATATTTTGTACATCCGCTTTAACTTTGCTCGTGATGTTCATTTGATGGCAATACAACGCTATACGTTGTAGGTATGCGAGAAGATCCTTCTTAGTAGAACTCTCTGGACACTGATCGGCTATTTGCCTCGTCAATTTATCTAGCTTGGTTCCAGCCTCAGATATTTTCTTCGCGGCGTTGATAACGTCCATGGTCGTTTTCAAAGGCCCACGGCCTCTGGTAAAGTCTGTCATTTCCATCATGATCATGCACATGTGCTTCGCGAGAACAATAATATCGTTCCCTGCGTCGTCCCATTTGGCAACTTCTTTATCGAACTTCAGTTTCTCGCTCTTGAAGTACTCTACTTGCTGCAAAATCTTCTGCTTGTCTTCCTCCGGCATCTTACGCATAGCTTCGCGTGCCGTAGTGATACCGCTGATCTCTGGATATTCGTCAACGCCATGTTCACCAGTCTGAGCACTCGATTTGCTACGAGTCTCCAATGTATAATGCTCGTCGAGTTCAACGTCTTCTGGATCCAAGTCCTCGTCAGCCTAGAACAAAAATACAAATGAAACGAACGTCACAGAACAGAAAATATCATGCACTTACTCTGTTCATCAATACAGCTCGTCTGATCTCTCGGACTCCGTCATAAACCAGTCTCGAGGCATCTATAAAATCGTTCTCGTCCACATCTTTAGCGGGGTTGCTGCCCAAAGCGTCGACCGCTACTTCGACTCTCTGCGCGAACTTCGGCATCACTTGTTCTCTCAAAACTTTCACAGCTTCCAAAACCCGTTTCGTATAGATACAAGGTTCGTAATTATCCATTTCCGCTTGGACAACGTTACATACCCTGGCAGATCGTCCGCGGATCGCGCCCGCGGTTCTATCTAAAGTATCTGCATCGCCTTCTTGCAAAGCTAACACACATTTATTCACATCTTCTAAAATATGATTTTCGGACACGGCTAAGAAATCGTCGATGGTGGTAATATCATCGACGGCCTCGGTCAATACTCTCACTTGATTCTCCCACGCTTGTCGGAACACTTCCATGTTGTCTTGAGCTACTTTCGAGCGATTACGAGCGGCTAGAACGCGAGCTGCGTTAATCACTTGGGGACACAAGTTCCCGATTTGAGCTGCCGCATAACGAACCATTTTTACACCGTCTTCGTTTCCTGACATACTACACACTAAATTGGCAACCTGCAGTGTAAATATCGTTAGATATAATATTGATTGAAAAATGATATCTGGGACATTAAATCATGACAGTGTACCTCGACAAGCTTGTTGGCATGCTCTGTGAAAACAAGCGCGTACTCCTCTACTTCTTTATCACGGCCGTTTCTCGCAGCTTCGATGAGAACTAGTAAGGGTACGCTTGTCTCTAAGAAGCTATCAGATACGTGATCTACTACGGCCTTTCGCAATTGTCTACGAAGATCGCGAGTCTTCCTGCACATATGATCGATCGCTCTTTCCAAACCTTCCGATTGTTCTTTCACGCCCATCTGTTTAAGCATACATCCAGTTAACGAAACTGCAGTGCAAAAATTACTTTTTCATATACATCTATGCTATTCTTTTCTCTAACAGCGTTAGGTGCAAGATATATTTTTTGTACTGGTTATCAAAAAGACAAATTCAATTAAATCTCGTATTATTACTTGGAAGACATTACGTTTAGTATAAAATGACATGTACTATTTATTTTAAGGCGCTATGTACACAAGCAAACAAAAAAAATGATCTTTTGAACAACTCTCCCACTGATAACATCTATCAAGAGTTCAAGATTATTTTATCTAAAGTTACTTCGCTATTGTCTACACTATTCATTTAATCTCTATTGATCTACAGATATATTACATGGTGTAATTATTCTACACAGTATATGTACATACTGTTGTGCAATGTTGGGACAATTGCAAGATCCACAAAGAATTATGCAATTAGTGCTTTTGTTTGTATAATACAGAAACGACAGACGTGATTAATACAATGTATTAGCAACAAAAACTTATTGCTTAATCAAAACACAAGATTTTTATATTTACCCGTTTCCCACCCCGAGCAAGCTGTAACTGCAGTCATTAAAAGTAAAATAACAAATGAGTAGAATGAACGTACTAACAATAAGATAGACGAAAATGAATAAATCATAGTATAACTGTTTATGCATCCGGAGTATGTTTCACGAATATTTCGTGTGATGTATTGTACATTTAAATACTAAGTTACACAGTGAGACACAGACCGAAATAAATGATAAAAAATGAACGTAATTAACTTCTTCTACATCGCTGCGATTATTGAAACTCGTTTAAATATATTTCACCGTAAATTTATGCGCATACAAAGCACATGTTTGTATCAGATAACAAATTAATATAATACTTACGTTGTTCATGTATTCGCTCAATAAATCTTGAAGCGCTTGTCTAACCGCATTGCATTCCGCGACGATCCGTTCTCTGCGTTCATCCCGTGTGCATGAAGAGTCCGCCATCAGCGCGGCACCGCTGATGATACTTTCCAATCTCTCCTCGAGACTGGGTCTCGTACGCACTTCGTTGTACGCGAGCGGAGACATCACCATTCTCTCATCGAAATCATCTAATGCCGCAGCCAATTCTCCGGGTCCTTCGTACGGGTGTTGGCTATCGACCGGAGTCTTTCCTTGTGCCACATCATTGATAGTATTTACTGCTTCGCATACTTGTTTCAAAACGTAATCGCGATTCGCTTTTGCAGCGGCCAACTCGGGATGTCTAACGTAGACCTTAGAAGCAGTAAGTAGCATGGTCGAATGTTTCTTAAGAACAGCTCTTGCCGCAGCTAAGTCATCTCTCAATTGAGGATCCTTCAACTCTTGCTGACGTTTTGCAGCTTGGTTCATAAGCTCCGATGCATTTCTACCGAACTGTTTAATATTGTCCAACAACTCTCCCTGAGAGGATGCGTTCTTTAATTTTTTTAAATCGTCTTCGACCACATGGAGCGATTTCAGCAACAAGTGGACATCGACCATATCTGCTAAGATCAGCAGACGTGTTACTGCAGAAAGTAAATTTCTTGCTGCGCGTACCATGTTACCCCTTTTCAGGGAAGAACAAGGATCTTCAGAAAATTCTCTGCATAATGAATTGAAATTAACTAAAATCTTTCAAGAAAATATGATACACCACTGAAATAAATAATACCTTGCAGCAATACTCATTGCAGCTCCTGTTTTTCTAACTTCCTCCACAGCACTTAACATCTCCGCAGTAATGTCAGGATTCTCATAAGCTATTTGTTCACCCTTCTCAATAAAATTGGCAGTTGCCTTTTCCACTGTCCCAACTAAAGCGCTAGCCCTTTTGGACTTTCCTTTCTTCTTTTTACTAGGGCCCTTTGTATTTACAAGGGTAGTTACTTGTAAAACCAAGGGCTCCAGAGTCTTCTCTACAGACACAGTTCTGATCTCCAAATTTTTGGGATCCCATTTCAAAGTTATTGGCCCAAAGTGGTCTGACATTTTTAATGCTTCAAATAAATCAATTCTGAAAATTAAAGTAATAGTGATTAGATATCCGTCGCGATTGTAACGAAAAAATTACCTGTGCCTTCGTAATATAATACAGATAATTTATTAGCAAATCGAACTATTACTTATTCCTCTCGATTATTGAAATAATTTATATCCTCCGATTTGATCTATCAATACTACGTTCTCGACTCGTTTAGTATTGGAAACGGTCTATAATCTCGATGAAACGACGTGTATGTTTGAAAAAGACAGGGTGCGTCAGAACGGGCTGATTACTCACAAAAAATGTTAGCACTCATTACGTTACCTTATGAGACAACAAATTCTTACCTTCATGAAAAGCGTACGGTTTTAAAAGCTATAAAATCGTTAATATAATCCACACCAAAACACTAGTATTTGTTCTAGTTAAAATCAGTCACATTGGAAAATCAAACTTCCACTGTACACAATTCCATATCATTTCGATGTATCACCCGTTTGCCATTCATGACGTCATTATTTCCGCCAGAGTTGAAAAGCTTCAACGAAATCGGTCTACGCCCGAAGCTTTGGAGCACCAATATGAAATGGTGTTTACGCACACATATATAGAAATAAAAATTAACACACTCGTAAACGCTGTGTATTTTCAAAATTATGTTCTGATAGATTATTTCACTAACGAATACACTTGGTTCTTATTATTTTTATGAATTTATACGTCATTAGAAATTGTGATATGTCACAGATACAAAACAAAAATGAAATTACAATTTTTAAAGCATATTAGGAATTCTTATCTAAATTTCATCCTCTAAACTGATACGTTAGAAATGTTTAATTCTGTATAAAGATTTGCAATCCAATAATTATACAGTAGTTTACATAGCACGAGGTAGGAGGCATCGTTGTATGAATGCGGAAACTCGATTTCTTCTCTATAAAGTAACGAACGCTGTGGCTGCGCCGCTAAACGGATTTCGTTAGCGAATTCTCTACCACTCTTTTCCCACAAGGCGGAGGCGAGAGTCGTACCTTTCAAGGTTTTATAGCCAGTAGTTTAGCCTAATACGATTATTAGATAGAAATTTTACAAGGTTGGTGGTGTGTGCAGGTGAAGTGACAGAGACAAGATGTGGCCCTCAATATTGGACGTAGCTAAAATGAATCCGTTCGGAACACCGTTCGTGACAGCTAAATGTCAGGGACAGAACGAACTGACACAGTCGCTCGTTAAAAATCGTCACATTGCCGCTGCTTCTGTCGCACAAGGCGGTTAGTAACTCATGATTAACTTTTAAATATTCGGATCGTCATTAATGCACGATTTCTACTTATAAAATTGTATATGACTATTGATCAATTTCCCATTTACAATTACTCGTAGAGGGATTGATACTTACTATTAAATGAATCTCAAAGGAACTTTGTTCTGTTGTACGTTATTACATAATCTGGAACATTATTCGTAGCTATTGAATATGTTTCATGACATGAATGATTGATTCACGTAGCTAAGACTTGAGAAACTGATAAAAAGTTCAAGTTTCGAGGCTACCAGCTAATTGGCTAAAAAACACTTTTATTATTTAATTTACTTTGATTCCATTATTAAAAATTATATAACGAAGAGTAGATTTGACCGCATGGCGCGTTACATATCGTTATGCGATCTCATATCTCTTCTTCGTGGAGGCATTTTATATTTCCCTTTGATGTATCTTTTTCCGTGGATTCACTTTGCATTCTTTGAACAGTTGAATACATTTTCGTACTGGACGTTAGTTCAGATCAATTCAGGAATGAATCATTTATATCCGATCCGTTTTTCACGATCTATAAAAGATTGCATAAGGTGCAGCCATTTTGTTGAAAATGCGCGTGCGGATGTCGTCCTCGTAGCCTTGGTTGACATTTGAGTAAAAATAATAAAGTACGTGTAGGACACACGTAGCCTTGACCGAGAAGCAATTAAAGATATCCTACTATACTTGAAATGTTTATTATTGGATAAGATCAAAGTAGTAGGATTCGCGCGTGCCAATTTTGAAATTCAGTCGGGCTTGCCGAGCGCCCTTTCAAGCGGTCGATCAATGAGTTTTTATCGTCGATCAATGAATTAAGGATTGTCACGAAACGAAGTTCTGATGTGCGTTAAAATTAGCACATCACATCCAAGAATCATTCATAACAGTTTATGTTTTAATATCCAGATAGTTGTGAATTTGGATCGAACAAGTACTTCATGCTATGTGGTTTGGGAGGAATTTTATCCTGCGGTATTACTCACACCATGGTCACCCCATTGGATTTAGTAAAATGCAGAATTCAAGTGGATCCTGCGAAGTACAAATCAGTCGTCAATGGCTTCAGGGTATTATAAAAATTCATTATTTTTTAATCCATCTATTATCTTTGCAAGATGATTTTGAAACTTTGTTATTTAGGTGACTATGGCTGAAGATGGAACTCGAGGTCTGGTCAAGGGATGGGCACCCACGTTCTTCGGTTATTCCATTCAAGGAATGTTCAAATTTGGTCTTTATGAAGTCTTCAAAGTATATTACTCCCAGCTAGCTGGAGATGAACTGTCATATGAATATAGGACGACCCTCTACTTAATTTCTTCAGCATCTGCAGAATTTTTCGCTGACATTGGTCTAGCTCCTTTCGAAGCTTCCAAAGTAATTATAATCTGTTTTTGCATTTATGCAAATCGATAATTCTCCTAGCATTCTGAAAAAAGAAAGAGAACAGTCAGATCAATACCGTCCCTTGTGAGATACTGTTTGTATCAATCCTCTTTGTGTATTTCCTTAACTAGTTCTACATCCAAGATAGAATTGTTCTTTTGCTCCCCCACATTGTTCCTACTGATCCTCATCTTTGCCACGTCATGTCCAATACTATTGTATTGTAAGTTTCTTTAATCAAATACAGCCAAATTATATAAATCATAATACATCAAGCATGTGTATCTTCGCAGGTGAAGATTCAAACCACGCCAGGATTCGCAAACACTTTGAGACAGGCTATGCCAAAGATATCTGCGGAAGAAGGTCTATCTGGATTCTACAAAGGATTGGTTCCTTTGTGGCTTCGTCAAATTCCATACACGATGATGAAGTTCGCTTGTTTCGAGCGTACGCTTGAGCTCCTGTACAAGTATGTAGTTCCTAAACCAAGGCAAGAATGCACGAAGGGCGAACAATTGATCGTCACTTTCGCCGCTGGGTACATAGCCGGTGTATTCTGCGCTATCGTATCGCACCCTGCTGATTCCGTGAGTATATCTCATGCAAGTATTTACTTCTTCGTCCTCGAATTCAATCGTTGCTCATCTCTTAAATACAGGTTGTATCGAAACTGAATCAAGAGAAGGGAGCATCGGCCATTGATGTCCTGAAGAAGATGGGCTTCGGTGGAGTATGGAAAGGTCTTGGCCCTCGTATTGTTATGATCGGTACGCTAACAGCAGCGCAGTGGTTCATTTACGATGCCGTGAAAGTGTGGCTCCGTATGCCGCGTCCACCCCCACCAGAAATGCCGGAATCCCTCAAGAAGAAGTATGGATTAGCTTAATTATCAAGCGTCAACAATATTTTTAATTGAATCAATTACAGTTAGAGAAAACGAAACGAGAGCATAGATAAATTACATTATTTCTTCACAGTACATTGTCGAACAATGTTTTGCCATACATCTCGAGTATTTATTCTGTAATACAGATATCAGTGCAGGTCGTCACTGCCTTCGAATTAGATATAACAATGTGCTACGAATTATAGTAATTCGCTTCCGGTTCTGTGATTACGCGAAAGAGGTGGCACATTTATAAAAATCTGACAGTGACAGTGAAGTTACCTCTTGTAACCGGAAACTGTTACTTTGTACATAGAGTGATCACCGTAAATAAATAATTCGTGATTACTCAATAAAACCTGTTACCTCTGATATTCTTTCCATTAGAAATTTCATTATGGTATTGGTCAAGGGTGTTTTCTTTATTAAAATCTTCCAATAATCTATATTCTCAGAATGTATACAAATTTTACATAAATATCGGTAAATTTATAGAAAAATAGTATGTTGTATTTTACATACATCAAATGCATGTGAATTCGTAAGCTGTACTAACTAGATATGTACAAACTGAGAATAATTCCTAAAGCAATAATTATCGAAACAGTACGTAATAATATGCTTTGCATAAGTTTTTTAAACATGAATAACGTGATAAAGAAAAACATCTTATTGTCTCGTTTACGTGGCCATACGAAAATTGTAATATCACATATAACAAACACAGCACAGTTTGCAAAATTAAGTGACAAAAATCTTCACTATCGGAATAAGTAGACGATGCATTGCACATATTATGATGAATAAAGTTTTTTCTCTAAGTACGTCCTGGCGTCCTGTATAGTAGCGAAAATTTTAAACGTGAGCGTGCCGTGTAAGTATATATCGCATTTTCTAATAGTTTCAAAAACGGGACTCGTACAGTTAACGAGATAAAACTGTACATCGATTTGTTGAAACTCTTTCATCACTGAATTTAATGTTGTTACACCGGTAGAATCAATGTGGCTTAACGCGCTCATATCTATGATTACACAACGTAATATCTGTTTGTCCTCGGAATCTGTGTAAATCCCTTGTTCTCTTAACTTGATTCTGTGATCTATTACTTTTTGCGGGTTTACTTCGAGTGTGTTATACAATTCCGATTTAAAATGACTGCTGTTCGCAAAGTTCAGAACTCCGCAATAATGAAAGATTTTCATCCCAGGAGTTTCCGTTGCCTGTAAGTACACATTACTCGTAAAAGCGATCCTTAGTTTTACTTGTGCTGTTAATTGTAAGAAATGATGTACCGCCTTATATCTGCTGGTATCCAAATACAAATCCGTGTTTGGTAAATGGCCCAACAGACAAATGTAAGGTGTAAGACTGTGCCATAAAATGATCGCAAGCGATATAAGTATTCCAGCTAGCAAACCGATGTCAATATTTACTATCACAACTATTAAGAACGTTGAGATCCAAATTAGTGCGTCAGATTTACTTAGTTTCCAAAATCTTTTTAGTTCTTTAGCTTGCTGGAACATGCCTTTTAATGCTACCTAAACGAGGAGATTGAAAGTTGTATTTTACAGAATTCGTTGGAATTTCTTCGCGTTTATACTTACAACAATAATTGATGCGAGGACACATCTAGGTAATGGTTCAAAAAACGGGCCAATCCATAATAGGATTGTGAGCAATATTGCACATGATACGACGCTAGCTAACTGCGTTCGACCGCCGACAGTTTGCTGAATTAGAGATCTACTTAATGATGCTGATACAGGCATACATGAAAAAAAGGATCCTACTATATTACTCAAACCCTAGAATTATATTTTATAAATATACTCAATGCTGATTTATAACGTTCTATTTAAAAAAAGAGAGCACGTTACGAAAATCGAAGATCAGATTTTTACCATAGCAAGAAGTTCTTGGTTCGAATTAATTTGATAATTGAGTTTCTGAGCAAAGATCAAGGCCATCGATATGGTAACAGTGTAAGATACCATAGTTATGGCAATGCTATCTGCTGCTACGAGATGCAATAATTCGAATGTTGGAAGTGTTGGAGCTGGTAATCTATCGATTCGAAAAATAAACAAGTTTAAATTCTACCCAAAGTGAATATAAATCAAATGTTTGTACATACCCTGTTGGAATGGGACCCACATCTTGAATACTGTATGTTTCAGGTAAGTAACAGTACCTTGAGATTAAAGTACCGCTAACAACTGCAATTAACTCGATTGGAATTGGCATGCTACACTTTTTGCTTGCCCACGGCTAATATTAAAAAGAAAATTATAAATTTAGCACTTATAAATGTAATAGGCAAAAATATGTGACAATTACCTTTAAACATTCATTATTGAGTGCAAGAGCCGTAATCGTTATCGCTGATATAAGTACAGCGGCCAAGTTAGAATTTTGTATTCCACTAAAAATATCTACTAACGTCTAAAATAATTTTCTCAATTAAAGGTACCTTTAATTGATATTTTGAAAAGTGGTACTCACAAAAATTAACTTGAAATATCCTTTTCGCTTTGGTATTTTCAGCCCCAATAAATCTTTAAACTGAGATATTAACACGTAAACTGCTGCACCGGTTGTAAAACTATTTACCAAGGGTTCGCTGAACAATGTACTTATAATGCCCAAGTGGAATAAGTACATTACAATCTATGGGAAGAGTAAAGAAATAATTTATGCCACTACACGCAAAATGTCAGTCTAACAGTTATCACCTGATACATTCCGACGACAAGCGTGACTGCTGTTGCTACTTGCATAGGCGTATAGAAGTATTCCTTGGGTAGATCAGACAATGCACTTGTAGCATTTGCAAATTCGTCGTGTGACACTGAATAAGTAGCCACCGTTTTCCCAGTCATCAAGCAAACCACAGCAAACGTTCCTGGCAAGTGCCAATAATTCATTTCATTTGTCTAATTTTCTGACTAACAAGTTCTTATTAAAAGGGATTATTTGTAATATTTCTGTAATAGAATTAGCATTTTACAAAACATATACCACATTGAATGTGGAATGCTAATAAGATCTTGGTCTTTGTGAATTATTAAATGCTTCTCTCTATGTTACATCTTTTCAATAAAAATATTTCCTTACCCATGGACACGTGTCTAGACGTGCCGAAGAAGAAATATATGAGAACAGGGAAGAATGCCATATATATCCCCACTACCGGTGGCACATTTCCCAATAAAGCATAAGCCATTCCTTGAGGAATATGCATAATTGCCACTGTTAAGCCAGAGATTATATCTGCTATTATACTTTCCTTCCATTTGTATTCTCTTAACCAATGTATTGATGGAATCGCAGACAAAAAACATGATTTCCAATTCTTGTGTTTTAATAAACTTACTGTATTTTCAAAGACTATAAAGAAAATAATATTTAAATGAATATTAAAAAAAGATTAAGAAAAACTTTACATACAGAATGTCTGTGGTTTCTGATAATGACAATCCTCATTTAAAGTTTCTTGTTCATATAAACGCCTCTCTAAGTGTACTTGCAAGTATGCATCGTGCTTTTCCATATCGATGCCCACTTAAGGAAAGAGTTATGGACTTCGTTCAACAAGAAGATGCTATCTTCTAAATTAATCTTTATACGTCACTGTATGTTACACATGTGTGTTCCACATGCATGTATCTGCAATAAATAACGTATTTTAATTAAACTGTCAGACCCATATGGCATCAAAAAGTGTACAATTATAAATAAATTCAAAAGGCGATGCATTTCATACCGTGATGAAAGAAATTTAAAAGATTTTCTCATTATACAAATCAGTGATTAAAATCTGTAT